TTTCTTTGTTCGATTATGATTTTGGCACTTGCTCATTACAAAAGAATGAGAAGATAAAAAAGGAAACAGTCGCTGCTGTGAACGTATACTGCTTGACTTACTCGAGATGTTGTAGGGGAGATTAACGCAGCTCGCCTGTTTATAGTTCAGAATTCGACACCGCCATCGGAACAGCCAATCTGTTTATGATTCGTTCACTCGTCTATGGTAAAATTAGTTTTGGAACATGGCTGGGAATCATTAGTAGCTTCCTTCTAAGCACTCCACCGAAGAGGGGCCCACTGGCGGTTTTGCCGGCGGAATTTTAGGTGGAGTGTTACCAAACGCATGTACCGTACACGAGGAGTGAAGAAGTTTTAATTTTTATTAGTGGCATGTCGAGCTTCCGAAGAAATTGGGGGGCAAGGGAGCTGCACATTCCAGTCCTGATTATTGAAAGTTTGCAGATGCAGCATATATACTTGGTTCGTTAGGTGTTTGTGAGCACTTCATGTACTCGATTAGTTGCATTTGCTAAAATTCATCGATATTGAGTACTTGCAGTACAAGTGAAACCGCTACCAGAATCTGAAGTGGATCGATTGTTGAAGCTACGCGCTACTTTGCCGTATGGCCCTATGGGGCCAGCGACGCCGGAACCGTGGATGTTTAGTGGAATGCTGCCTGGCAATGCTGATTTAATACCACAAAACCCTCATTTTCATGCTGGTGATACTACCAATGATCTCACGAGACAGTTCTAATGAATTTGCGAGGGCTGTGCATGACTTCCACATCGGACTCAAATCTGAAGGAACATTTGTGTATGGACTGGGTTTGCTTGGGGGTGCTGAAGCGAGTTAGCTTGCTGTTCCATTTGGCTCAGTTTAGCGCATTGCATTGTAGATGCTAAAACTGAATAAAAAAATCTGTCAAGTTGTCGGAAGGGGCCGGGATAATACGGGAAAAGTGAGGGCGCCAGTTAAATTGAGATCCAGAATAATGTGAACTTTAGTTAAAGAAGGAGCGAAATTCAACATATTGGATCCAGCCAGGAGTGTTAAATTGTTTCAGTACGTGAATAATTGGATTCAAAAATGTGCAATTTTGCGCTTAGATGCAAAAAAGTGTCATGTTCAGGCGAGTGAGGTGCAGAAATAAGGACAAAGCACTTGCCAGTTTCGCTGAGGATCTTTTTTCGACAACAGTTTGGCTAAATAATCTGGAGTTGTGGTAATAAAACTAATTTGCTTCTCGTCTAGAATGTGGTAGTTTCAGTATAGAAGCTGTCGTAACCATCTGCTGGTATTGGAGTGAGTCACGCAATATTCGTCTTATGTTCGGGTTCAGTTTCCCGTTTATTAATTTTTCTGTTTCCTGCAATATTTTTCATTGCATTTTTCCAAGTGAATTTTTCAGCAAACCGATCTATTACGGTTGATTTCTTTGTTGTAGAATTAAATATGGAAAGGTTTTTTTGTTTATATCTGAGGAGCAGCGAAGGTCGGCACATTGCGCCACAGTTCAT